TGCAAATAAGGAGAGAGTAATTATCAGCGTATGGATTAACTAATGATCCGTATTTTTAATTGACTTCAATGCTGTACTATCTCGAATATTTGGAGAAATTGGAGAGAGAGAGAGAGAGAGGGAGAGTGAGGGAGAGGAAATTTTTCGTTGACACTACAAAGAGGCAATGCGTTTTCATGTTGACTAGCTCTTGAAAAATAGAAAGAATATCATCCTTACACTTGGCCAACTTGATTCGAGATAGCAGTTACAATTTCACTCATAGTTTACAGTAGAAGCACTTAATTAATTTGGCAACCATTTCTCTGATCAATGAAGAAAAGCTATATATGGCGCACATACACATACACATGCACACACCACACACATACACATACATACATACATATAAACATACATGCAGACTCCCATGCCACTGATGTATTATTTCATTTCAAAAGCACTCCGCCATTTCAGTAACCTCATCCGTACATTCAATAACTTTACGCGTACATTCATTTAATACATCACCCGTACATTCAATAACCTCATCTGTATATTCAGTTAACCTCGATTGCATTACTCTTACCACACTTTAATATTTCAATTTCACTATCGCTATCATCATTCAGTGAATCATAATGAGAAGGGAGGAGAAAGGGAAAATTGACATTAAATTACCTCCCAATGATAAATAACTCTTTCTTTTTATATATCCTTCACATCCTCATTTTATCTTTATAATATGGTTTAGAGTTATTATTTTCAATTTTTAATTTATCTCATCAAATGTAACAACGGATCAGAGCTTACTTACCTTCCACATGTTGTGAAGCAGTTGTGTTATTTTCAAATGATTGCCTTACTTTTTTGTTACTAATAGTGTGTGTGTGTGTGTGTGTGTGTGTGTGTGTGTGTGTGTGTGTGTGTGTGTTCTAGTGTTCTAGTGATTATTTTGTTTTCTTCTGATTGTGAGAGTAAAGGAAATGATTCTTATCCAAACAACAAATGGTAATATAATAATATATCACAAGTGTTTACCTTTTCTCACTCAATAATTTTTTCCATTTCCTTCCTATCAGATATTCTAATTTCGTCAGAAGATATCTTAAGATTCTTAATATGTATCAAATCAACCTTGTTTATTGAAGAGAAATTAGGAACAATATAAGACATTTCTCTTTCCTTTCCTTCTCTTCATAATTTCTATCATATTATTTTACTTTTTTTTTTCTCATGGAAATATCGTATTTCCACATTTTACTTTATTTTAAATGGATCAATAATTTGCATTTATTATGTGGTGCCATTCATGCTGACTGCAATCCATTAAAGATAGCATTTCCACGATTTAGCAGCTTTAGTAAATGAAGACGGACAATTGAGTGAATGTGAAAAGGTTTAGGCTTCGTCTCACCTTTTTTGTTTGCCTATTCTAATTTTTAAGAGATAGGAAGGATAGTGAAAAGTATTAATAGATGTATATACTGAATGAATCAATTATCATATATAATCACTCTTTTATTGTTCAGTTTTAGAATACGACAGTTTTAGCTTTTTAAATCATTCAATTATAGATTTATCACGCATATTCTTTCTTTCTATTATTGAATTTTTTAATTCAAAATAAAAGAGATGGAAAGTTAAACAATTTTTTGATCAAATATTCATTTATTATCGATTAGAAATTCATCATCAGTTCGTCAATATATATGTATAGGTATGAAATAGATTTTTCATCTTTTGTTTTCACTTATAAATTAACACTGTGTAAGAAATTATTGATTTTTAAAAGTAATTGTGGTAAAAAAAGATTTTGTCTGAAGTTATCTACAACGAAAAGGATAATGCGTAATCGATGACACCCAACAGATGATGGTAATTTCAATCTTCCACCGCATCCTACTTATTCTCATTTGTTTCAAACCATACTTCATTCCACCATCATTATCATCATGTATTCTCCTCATTAATGGAACGCCAGTTAATAATAAATAGACGAGGAACACAATGTCTACAGGTGAAGGAATTGCAGTTTCGGATTTTTCTTCTTTCTTTTGTTTAATCCTTTTTCTTTCTTTGTTTTTCTCTTCTATAACTTTATTCATTTAAAGATATTAATTGGAATTACTGAGTTATAATATTTTCATCAACTGATTGCTTTAAATATAAATTAGAATTTTTCCTATTTTTTTTTATTATATGTGCTAATTTTCTTTCTCGTTTTTCCAACTCTCTCACTAACACGATGATCTATCTAACAAGTAAACAAATATCTGCATATAACAATATATCGATAATGATTCATTCAAATTAATAAGTAGATATGATTGGTTGTAGAACTATCTGACTACACTACTGTTTATACTGCTTTATTTTCTAATTTGTTCCCAAACGGAAATTGTGTTGTTGAACAAAGGCTGGCTAATTCCGGTTAGGGACATGAGTTTATAGAAGTGTAGAACGATCCGACTCTTTTATTACTCAATTGTCCTTTTCAGTTTCGTTTTTTCATGTTATCACTGTCTGTTATTAAGGACCATGGGTTGGTTATTTGTTACTATTAAACCCATTTCCTCCAAAAATGTTCAAGCAAATGGAAAATGCATTGAAACAGATGGTGCAACCTTCGAAGTAATGAAAACGTCCATAATGGATAAAAATATGAAAAATGAAATCCTAATTTTCATTTGGGGTCAATTTTGTGCGACTCTCTTATACCTGATAGTTAGCAAAAAGCTCATAATTATATTCTCCCTCTCTCTCTCTCTCTTCATATATATATATTTCATTTCACAAAAGTCTTAAAATTTCTATACGTATAAAAAAAAGCATAGGTTATATAATTCGTGATAAAACTTCAATCTATTACAGTATCATCTCTCATTCGTTCTCATATCCAATAAAAACCGATTTTATATATCGGAGTGTGTTAATAAAGATGATTACTATTTAAAACTTTCGTTCTTCTCTTGCATAATTGTCATTTCAACTAATAGAATCTGATGGAACGAAAAAACCTTTGGAAATACAAATTTTCAGAATGTAAATAACGAAGGAGAAGAGAAGAACAATTATTGATCAAAAGAAAATGACGAATTACATAATTCTGCCTCTGCAATTGATGTTAAATATTGCATTTTTCATTTATTTACTAGGAAAAAGCAAAATTTTACTCCATGCATTTTGTTCGATTCCTTCTGCTTCTCTCCGGATCAATCTGTTCACTACCGGATGGATATCTGTTCACTACCGGATAATTCATTTTATAAGCTCATCCCATTTACTACATGTGGAAAGTTCAAAACGAATCCGTACAAATATGAAACTGTTGCGTTTTATAATACATTGTTTTGCCCCATTACTTCACCGACAAAAACTCTCTGTTCCCTTTAAACTTCAATACTCAAAGTTCTAACTTTCAACATTTTTTTTTTAACTTAATAGTTTTGATTTCCAATATCATTACTAACCTACGAGTTCCCGTTTCAGTAACAGTTTCCACTAAACTGCTACTTTGAAATGCTGAGCATTATGTTTCATTTCATCTTTGTTTCTCAGGGGCAGCAGGTAGAAGGTAGCTCCAAATCTAACTCACAAAGTTTAACTCAGTTAGTTCATGGCAAATTGAACAAACTTTTCAAGAAGAGACTGAAAGGAAAACTTTTCCCTTCAATGGAATTTTCATTTTTACATTTCTGAGCGCTCAAAAATTTCAATAATTGTTTACCATTGCTTTTAGATGAGAATAGAACAATTTTTTATGGATTTATTTATGGACTTATTTTGAATTTGAATCTTACCAAACAGCCGTGAATCCTATTCACTTTATGGATAAACAGATTTTTCAGTAAGACTGGAATGAAAAAAATGGAATGGATGAGGAATGATTCGAAATGATGAAAGTTGCTTGATTTTTTCTCTGTTTAAGTTCTTCAAGCATTGCCACTTGCAAATTGTTTTTATTGCCACATAATTCTATCAAGCTGATGTTCAGGATGAATTGCGTTTGTCGGTAGTTGTTTTTCTTCTCTTTCAAAGCTTCTTCAATTTTCATTTTTCATATTACTTATGTGGTTGGCATTTGCTGAAAGAGTATAAATCTTTGCAATCAAAAAAAGTTACTCTTATAGCTAGTTATTTTGCTTAGACAAATTTTAGGCCAATCATTTATACTTAGTGCTAATTCAAATTTCATTCTTCATGTTATACATGATCGTATAAAGCTATCAGAGTCAATTTTCTTCTTCGTTTTGTTTATCCGAATATTTCGCTCTCATAATATTTCTTTTATTTCCGATCTTGAATGCATCACTATTACCGTATTCTTTTTCTGCAGCATTGAAATATTATTTCAAACAAGTCATATATTATCCTTCCACTACAATTTTCGTAAATTTCTTCTTTCTTTTTCTACAAATATCAGTTATTTTAATGCATGCTGAATAGATTAAAATGATTTAAAGGCTTATATTTAGCTTCATTATGTGGTAGAATTGCTTTTGATTGACTTGTCAACATAATAGACGAGCATATGCGAACATGACAACCTATGAAATGCATTCTTTTGAAAATTTTTTTCCATTGAAAAAGGAGGCGGAAGAGAGGTGGCAAATAAACTGCTGTATTATCTTCGTCATTTTATTTCCCACGGGATATTAGTATTATGCTTGTGCTTTAACATTATAAATGTTTGGTAGAAAAATGTACATTTGTTTGTTAGTTGAAAGGATTCTCAAATGTGAAAATTAAAAGTTATTTTATAAATTTCATATTTTCAGATAATTTAGATGTGATATATTATTTATTTACTTTTACTTCTACATATGTGACCTTTATGGCGTCTATACATTATCACGTATATGCATTACTAAGTTGTACCTTAGTAGAGTTCTGACGTTGCATCTTAGTAGAATTCTTGAATTAAATTTATTCAAATCTGTTTGAAATTAATAGAAGTAACACGACGGCGTTTTCACGAGCTGTCGATTGGCTTTGCTGTGGTATACGAAGCCAGGGTGATGGTGACAGCAATGCGTATTCTGGCACCACCTCGGCGCATGTATCTTCCTCTGGTAATATTATTAAATTTTTTAAGTTAAAGGCTTTTGATTTATTTAATAAAACATTTTCGTTTTGGTGTAGCAAGAATTATATAACTGATTTTAGATTTTCTGTTTATCGAAAGATCATATCTTTTCATGAAGCTTTATGTGATAGCAGAAAAAAATCTAAAATTCAAACTTCCTGTCGGGTTTTGAAATGCTGCACGATCGGTCACAAATCCCGATCTTTTTCCTTTGCTGAAAAATTTGATGGATATTATCTATAGCTAGTCAGCTTTTGTAGTAACGCAAGGAGGTCAGCAGCATGGAAGGAAAATATCGCCGGTTAGCAAGTTGCAAGTCATTGAACATATCGTCTCACCAAAATATGAAGCACTGTCTCCCGATCCCGTAATTGATCATCTTGCATCTTTCGATAGTTTTTCCGATTTGGGTAAGTCCAATGTTTATTAATCAACTAATTTGGTTGCAGATTCTAAAGTTTTTTATTCTTTAAAATAAGAATTTATCGCAATTTCATTATTTAACATTTGCTTTGAATCCTCTGAACAATTGGTTTGGAAATTGATTGGGAAGTGAATCGGATCTTTTTTTCTCCCATTTAAAAGGATGGAATTTAAAGCCGAATTTAAGAACTCATTCTTAATTTAAAAAGGCTCAGCAGAATATATTGGCTTCATTTTTTACATCCTTTACAGATCCGGAATCTCGGAAGCAATCATCTGCTGAGGAACATCGAAATCAAGTGTTGCTACCAGAATTATTAGGTTCGTGTAGCACATATGAATAAATTTGCATTATTAAATTTCATTAGATGGGCTTCTTAAAGTTATTTATTTTTATTCGTGATATTTCAATCTTATCGTTAGATTTTATAACGAGATTAAGATAAGGAAAAGGAATTTTTCGAGAATTTATTGAGCAAGAAACTTTTTTAATTGCCGTCCTTTGAAATTCATTATTCGCTTACTCAATCCTTAGAGTTTTTCAATGGCCCAGGACTAATGAACCGAAAGGGTTCTTGGAGAGCCTAGCTGATCAAATCATGGCACTTTTTTCATTTTCTTCTCGGCATTTGAGCGTGTTTTTAGTAAATAATGTATTTAATAGTTAAACAATATAAAGTGTTTTAAGCATGAATTTCAAAATGATTTAGTTTGAGTTTTTTAACATTTCTTATTTCTCACAATAAAAAAAATGAGTGATGTTATCAGAAAATGGGAGGTATTATATATTTGTTAAAGTAATTGGAATCACCAACAATAACTGTTATCCTTTACTTTCTCCACGGATTTACTTCTTTATCTTCTTACTATTTCCATTCAATACGCCGATACGAACTGCCATGAAACCCTTTCAAAAATAAAGCATATTTGCATGTCTCTTTCTTCAGCATGTTTTACGTTGGTTCATAGCTATTGTCATCTGTATGAAGTACCGCATTATTAACATCGTTTATATGGCTTTTACTTTCATGTCATCTATTCTATTCAATATATAGTAAAAAAAAATATGAATTTATATTTTGATTTATAGGTTTATCTCGGGAATTGGTTTCTTTCTAATTGCAGATTTGTGTGGAAAAGTCTAAGATGGCAAAAAATTAGATTTTTTTTTGCCTCATTTATCATATTAGTTCATTAAAATATGTGCAATATGAAGATTAAGATGAGCATTATTCTTACTTTTTTCATTTCGAAAGTATTAAATGGTTTAAAAGTATTGTAAAAAAAACCATTGAAAATTGAGAAAGTAAATTAATTTTTAATTTTTTATTATTTTTCTAACTAATTAATTTTTTATGGATTTATGAAAGGATCGCTCAGTCTTCCATTATAATATCATTGTAATGGATATTATCAAAAAAGATGCATAATCTAGTTATCGTCTTAATATTTGTCATTTTTAAAAATCGTACCATCGCTTGCATTCTCCTTAACAATGGGCTAAACGATCACATTTCTTAGCTTATCATTTTCGATTGTTTTTCATCGACTTCAATTTTTTAAAAGTAACTGGTTGTTAGACGCAAGTTTATTAGCATAAATCTTTTCTAGTTTTCGAGCTTTCAAAGATATGCATTGTTATTCAGAGAAAATGATAGGGAGAGAGATAGATGTAGTACTTCATTATTATAAGATTTTACTTCCTATTTTATTTATTAATAAAAAAAGGTCTCCCTTTCCTTTTTCCACCTCTATTTTTCATTGGGATGCTAATATTGATCATAATAGCAATATACATTCATTCATGAATTCTTCATTTGGTTTTCTTAAGATTTTTTTTAAATCATCGATCTCATAGCATCTTCGCTATTGCTGTCGTTGTTGTTGGATGTGTTCTGCTTCCTGTCTTAGCTTATTCAAGCAATGTTAGCACATTAAAGGTTGAATAGTTGAGAAAAATATTTCCATTCGTGATATTTCTTTCTGAACGAATAATCCAATTGTTTGTTGCTGCTTCATTACTGGTTCTATTCTGCCCAATTCATTTGCTTCTTCATTTACTGCAGAATAGAATATTTAGTACTTCTGTAGGCATTTCCACAAACTAAATTTCAATATTTCGTATTCACTCTTGAAAAGCTTTGTCATCTTAAAAACAATCACGAAAGTGCTGTAGTATAATGAAAAATTCTTTGCTTCTCTTAGATTAAAAAATATTTAGAGATTTTTTTTATTGCGTTGAAATAACAGTTTTCTATTTTTCTATTTATCTCTGGAATAAATTATATTTCAATTTAGGCATATTTTCATGACTGAATTTAGTTAGATTTTTCCCCTTAATGATGATTTGGATGCGAAGCGCTCTTGTCTCGCACAATAGAAGGTTAAGAAAATTTCGGTTGATGATTTAACTGTGACTAAAATATATTGTATTTCTTCGATATAGAAAGCTTATTTGAGGCTTCTAAGAAAAATTGTCTTTCTTTATCAGAAAAGCTTCGGAAAATTGTTTAAGAATTTATGTGAATATTATTCAAAAAGCACATGAAAGAATTGAAATTTTCTTTGGTATATTTGCAAAATCTCTTACTGTTTTGAAATCTGAAACAGTTTTAGGAAAGCTCTTCTGATAAACAAAAACAATATAATCAATATTTGTTTAAAAGTCTCAACAAAATTTTCTATATCAAAAAAATTAATGGATATGAATGAACTCATTTCCAGATCTAATGAAGCCTATTTGGTTAGATTAATATAGGCATTTTGAGATGGCTTTAATTAAGAACAGTGATGAGTTTGACGTCTTTGGCGTTTCATCATCATGATGAGGTTTCTTTTTCGACATTGTCGAAAGAAATTCGAATTTCTTAGTTTTATTGAGGGTTAGAAAATGAGCAAGGAAAAGAGATGCATTAGAGTTATTACTATCATTTCAGTATGTTAGTGCAATTATTCCATAGTAGTACATGCTGAACTATTATTATTTCCCACATTTATGGATAATTTAGTGAACAAAAGCTAAAATTGAGAAATTGAACCGATACATCTCTATTACTTTTTCCAAAGTTTCACTTCATTTTCTCTTCTCTTTTCGGATTCCGGTTACTTCTTGCATCGAATTTACGAAATCGGGTTGTAATAACAATCCAAACTTGTTATGCATGATTTTGTTTTACTGTGGAGGAGTGCTTCCTTTTAGCCAAAATATTATTAAATCTAAGCTAATGTAAAAAGTTCGAAAGTATTAAGTGAGAGATAAATACCTAAATGTTCCGTTATCCAGCTGGATATATTCAGACAACAAAGCAATTGATTTTATTCGTATCAGTGGAGAAAGAATTTTGGAAATATCTAGTATTAGTAACAGTTAGACATACAATTATGAGCCAGTTTATTCGTCATACTTCGTATCATATCGGTTACCCAAATTTAGTTGCGGGAACGTGTCCTATTGTCATAGCCGAACATCAACAACGGGAGCAATACGAAAGTTGTTCCTCCAATTCCGCATCTACTTTGCATGCTTTTCATCCTATTGTACCTCGGCAACAAACAACAACTGTAAAAGACGTAGCATGTCAGTGTGGTGGTGAAATTGGTAGTGATAGCGATGATAACGCTGGCAATAGCGATGCTTGTGGTTGCAACGCAAATGGTGATCTTTTCCAGCAAACCCATCGTTATCGTTACCTGTTAAAATCGGCGCTTTACGCAAAAGGTATGTGGAAAAAAAGACATTTTCCGCAAACTGCTCTACGATTGCAATATTGTGATGGCTTCTTTAGTGATGTTGGGATAAATTTGAGGAGTTCGTAGAATGTATCGAGAATTTCCAAAAAATTCGAAATGTACAACAGAAATTCTTCAATCCTACATATACCTAAAACACAATTATGTACAAGTTCATTTTACGAGTGAAAGAGGTCCATTATGCTTGATTTTTAGCAAATTTACTGTCAAACTGCACCAGGCAGAGGAATTGATTTTGAAAGATTGTCACTTAAATAGTGCATGAACCATTCAACCACTTTTTGTAATGGCAGTTGTTCACAGTTAACACATCTTTTTCTATTTACGTTTTTTTCTCTTCCCCTTAATGTTTTACTTTAAGACAGCTGATAACATTTCATTCAACGTTGAGTTGCATGAAACTTTAAACGATTTAGAAAGTGAAAATGCACCATTGTTTGCTGATACTATCTCTTCGCTGTCTTCCCTGACGCAATCGACCGGACAGAAAACGTGCGAGTACCCAGTATGTCGTAATCATGCTCCTGTGACTTCTGCTGGTACCATTGATACCACGCCAATACCCGTTATTGTTACTACGGCAGTAACCAGTGACACCATTACTGAACAGCATCAATCAAAAAATGCTTTTACGCCTACTGCCAGCGACAGTCCAACTAGGAAAATGACATTGGCATCATCTTGTGATGTCACTGTTGTTCGGCTTCGACACTTAACATTATTACGTTCGGCTAGTGATTCTAAGTTGTGCACTGGAACTGAGTCACAGCCAGAACTTGGACTTGCTGATATACAATCATATGACGCACGTTGTAAGAGTGTTGATGAATTAAGTCGTATAACTGCAGATATCGCTGCCGAGAATCCGGATATGATCCGTTTTCAACAAGTACTCAACTCATGGGTAAGTCATTTTTGCATAAAAATTCTATTTTAAAAAGTTGAAAACAAAAAATTTCTAAGAATAATCGTTAGCAGAATTACTGTGGTATCTTAAGCTAAAAATTGTTCAAAATAGCAAGGAATTGAAGTAGTACTTCCCTCCAATATCACACTCGATCTTCGAGGAAAACATTTGAAGAATGTTGCGAACACAATATGATCTGATTTGTCGAAGGATACTTTAAATTGATTTTCAAAAGTTAGGTGTGTGTGTGTGTGTGTGTGTGTGTCTTAGTTGTAGTCTCCCGATGATGACTAAAATTCTCTTCAACAAAAAATAGAAAAAATTGTCTTTCTTCTGTCAATTGCCAGACAAGAAACTTGCACTCTTAATCGTGCACTTCTCTAAGGAGAATTTACCGTGTCATATTGGTTGTGTCAGTATCTTAAGAGAAGGCATTCGAAATTGCACTTTCAATTTTTTTCTAAAATTTTATTGAATGGAAATAAAAAAATTAAGAAGAAAATAAAGAGATGTGACAGCGAAATGATAAAAAAACAGTCGAAGAATTTTACAATTATTTCAAATGATTTTTTTCTCAAATGTTGTGATTCAGAGAGGAACAAAAATGTTTGAGTGTTGAAGGAAGAAATAGTCGACAATATTAATATAATACTTACAAAGATTTCGTTAAATGAAAAGATTGTAATCAGCAATGAGTCATATGAGGAGAGATTTCTACAATTAATGTAAATTTTGAACTTTAGGTAAAATAAAATTAAATTAATAAACTCGAATTTGATTTTTAGGACCTGATAGTATTTTTTTAGTTTACAAAATCAGTGTTGTGTTTCAATGAGATAGAATCACTATGGAGTGACGATTCCGCTTACTTACAGTTTAATGGTGATACAGTACATATGTGTCAGAAGGGCAATGTGTTCATCTTTGATTCTTTGATTTGTCAGAAAAAAAAGGAATTCCTGTTGATGCAATTTTTAGTAATTATGCCAACAAATATTTAAAAAATTCCACTTCAACGATTGAACTGTAGAAATAATTAGTCAAAGTGTTCTGTTAAGAAAGCACTGGTTGAATCACATATATCCCATCTTGCTCAAGAAATTTGGAAAAAATTTTTTAAATTGATGTTTTGTAATTGCTTTTTTTTAAGAATTATTTCAGGCATTTTGTTTTGATGTTGATAATGTTTTGCTAGAAATTATGGTAATTGCTGAGGTCGAGAGTTAAATTCATAAAAATTGTAGATTGGAACTCATACGGGTGCACGAACAGCGGCATTTTTGCTCATTTCAAAAGAATGTAATTCTTGCTTTTGCCAGGTAAATTTTTGCTTTCCTTTTTAAGTTTTCAATTTTTGAGAAGCATATAATTTATTAGTTTTTAGGGTTTCTTTTTTATCACCATGTGGTTGAGTCAAGTTAATTTCCGAAAGCAAATTACTTACGCTCCTGTGCGGGAAAGATGCAAATGTTATGTGCACTTTCTTGTTTATACATTTGATTATCATACTCCTCACATTTTCAAAAATTTCGGCCTCTTGCATGAACTTCTGACAACAAAATCTTTGTCAGAAGATGATATCCAAATAATTTTATTCATATAAAATTGAATTTCCATGTATTTCAGGTTTGTGGTAACCAACTGCTGAAAGAACCGATATATTGCGTTAGTTCTAAATATTTTCCTAAAATTTGATTTCCAAACTCTTTTTCACCTTGCTTTTTAGTTTCTGCTCTTCCCTCTTTATCACTTCTACTTTTCATAGGTTTATTGTGAAATTACCCAGAAGATCCTATTATTATAATACAGTAAAGGTTATGATAAAGGTTATGATACAGTGTTACATGAAAGTGAAAAGATACATGAAAATAGGAATGATAGCTTCAATAGTCGAAATATTTTTTCTCTTAAAATTGATGCGATTTGAGTAAGATATGTTAAATGTTATTTTACAGAATAAATGAAGAATTAATTCAGTGAAAGTATAACTGGCTGACAAATAAACTCTCAACTTCCATTGCAAAATAGCATGTGAGAGTAAAGAATCCCACAGCGTGTATTAGATAGTAAGAAGAATTAGGAGAGAAGAAGTGAACAGAAGATTAAGAATAGAAATGATAAGAAGAAAAAGATCCATTTTCTTCCCATGAATGATAAATTGATTTTGAAACTTAATCGTCTAACTAACTGAAATTTAATATATTTCTCTTTATAAAACATTGCTTTTCATTCAACAAAAAAGAGATTGAAAAAGAAACAAGCTGGTAGTAATATTAAACAAAAAAATTTCCATTATCATACCATCTCATTTGTAATCCTTTTCATTCAATATTCATTCCATAGTTTACGTAGATTTTTCAGAATACTTCAGTTTCACATGTCTTATGCTTTTCATTCATCGTAATGGTCAAATTCAGAAAATGACAGTGCCTATTGAGAAAAAACAATGCCATTCATGTGAGGTGTATATATGTGTATGTGTGTGTGTGTGTGTGTGTGTGTGTGTGTGTGTGTGTGTCAATTCAGGATCTGTTTTTCTACATTTCGATTGAAAGTATATTCAGATTGTTATTAATATTGAATGAAATTGGGACAAATTTTGGTTGTTTGGACGAAAAATTATATGAAATGAAATTTTACAATTAGCTTTAGATTTATCTTTTATTCTGATTTTTTGTTTCCAATGGAGGATCACATGATTAATTTGGTATAACCTAGTAACTGAAGCTCTTTTTTTCTTTCAATCTTGTAATATCATTGGATAATTTTCTAAAACAATAGAATTTGACAATAGGCATTAGTTGAGAAAGATTTAAAACGTGCATCATTAAGGAATAATTTTTTCTGTCAGTGTTATTCAGTAATAACGATAAAACTAGATGCTCTATAATAATTATTTGGAATTAAATAATGATTAGCAACAATGATCGATTACATTTAACTTAGCAATTAATATTCATTTTTAGTTTATTAAGTAACTCTATAAATCAAAATTTTACATTTAAAGGGTAATGCTGATGTGTTATGGTCACTGTTTAATAGAGATACGCCATTGTTGAACAGTAAGGACGTGCCATCTCTATTATATACACGTCACGCTTCAAATATTTATGTCGATATCGATATGCTCAGTAAGGTCAGTTCACTTTTTCCTTTGATTTGTTTATTTATGAATTTCCCTCAAATGGTTATTTTAACGAGGCAGCCAAAAAGCGATCCATTAATCCAACGAAAAAATGTTCGGTAATGAATAAGGCGATATTCTCTTCAAAGCTAAAATATCCCCAACCTGAATAAGTGTGAAAATATTAAGAAGCACTATTGAGTGATTCGTTTCGATTGCTCACAATTAACATTTGTCAGGGATAAATAACATTTTATACAAGGAGAAAAATGGTGGGTTCACTGTACCATCATTCATTGTCTATTTTCTGATGTTCCATCTATTCTATATATATATGCATTATCTCTTTACTGAGATCTTGAATCATTATGCCTGCATAATATTAGTTCTTATGGGGTAGTTAAATATATATGGATGGTTTCTTCATAATCAAATAATAGTCTCAATTTAACTGCCTTTTCATCTTTCTGCATAAATTCATCATAGAAGTTGATAAGGAAGTATTTATTATATGTACCTTTCTTAATCAATAGCATCCGAAATTAAAAATAAGACTATTTTTATCATTTCTGGAATTTCTTGCATTTTCTTCCATGGAGGATTAGAAGAGGTTCGATTCCCTATAGTGACCATCCCTCTTTTGCAGGTGTCAAGATGTAGTCATACATAATTAACGTGCAGCAGTGCATTCCATTTTATGTGATTTTTCCTTGTACGGGACAAGACAAGAAAAAAAAAAGACGAAATTTTTTTCGAGATTTGGCAATGGAAAATGGGTGGACAAAGGAAGATTATCGAGTAATTGCTTCCTTCGAAAATATGAAAGTTTATCCAAATTTTCGAAATCAATTCATTCTCTAATTCCTAAATAGCAAAGTTGGAGAGTCATAATATGTAATGCACATTCATGGAACTTAAGCTGACTCAACCCCGTGTTGATGCATGAGCTTTTTGATACGCTTTACACGTAAGCTCAGGCTTATATTTCCTTACTACTTCTATTTCACATCTTATTAACTTCTCGAATTAGGATTGGGCTCTCATTTACCGAACTCAGTCTATTTCTTGGAAACTATTTTGTCCGTTAAAAATATTACCTAAAGAATGATTTCGCATGCCACATAAACAGTTTGTATTTTTTCGCAATGCCGAAAGATTAGATGAAAGCGGGAATCTCTGAAATTTTTTAAATCGCATTTAATAAAATTAAAAATTGAAAATTTTTCATGTTACTATACTCTCCTACAGTTTTGAATTAGTATCCTGTTTTTGACGCATTTTAAAAATGTCGCAACTGACATTTTTCTTATTCAGAGATTTTTTTCCAGTTACCATTTAAGCATTTCTGTTCTTAATAGAAGGACATCTATTTTACACTAATTATTGTGATTAGTTAACATCCACGTTCAATATTTTTAGATGTCTTTTACTCCAAAGTTTAATCCTTGAAGTAAAGCACTTACTTCATCGATAAATGAAAAGATTTTATATGACGATAACTTATTGAAACAGCTGTCATAGGTGATATTTTGCTTGCTTTATATGACGATAACTTATTGAAGTAGTTGTCTTACCTCTAATAGAAGTTGCCTGTTAACAGTTTTGCTTTCTATTGGTATTACAGCGAATACCTCAATTAATGTCTACCCGTTGGAACTCTTTATTAACTTATTTTCCAAGTTTCAGGAATTTCGAGAAAAAATATATGCCATACTACAGAATAGTAACATTGGAGAAAATTCGCCAAAAAGTTCCCTCAATGGTACCATCTTCTTGTTACAAGCACGGAGTAATTTTATTGCTGGCCTGCTATTAATACACCAAAATGAATGGTACGTTTTCATTTTTTTTCCGTTAAATCTTGAAATATCGGAAAAAAAACTTGACTTTTGGAAGAAAATGGAAAGACGTGTTTAACTCTTCCTCTCATGAATTATTAACTCTTCGTAATCCTTATTTCAAGGTGATTTACAATGTAAGTAAATCATTATATTTCAAAAATCTTTTGAAGAATCTATTTTATGCCTCTATATTTTTTTAATTTTATTCATCAAGTAAGCGTTTTATATGATATTCCTCCTCTATTTTGAGAATGCCATATGACATCTTTATTGATCGTTTGTTATTTTTAATTATTTCAACAATGCCAAATTCTAAATACACCTACTTCACTCCTTGATCACTTCGATTGTCTTTCACATATTCTGTTTTCATTAATTTTCTTGAAGAATAATAGTATTTTTGTGCTAATAGATAAATATATTGGTAGTTTTATAATCAAGAGATTAATGAAACAGAGTTTCTCTACTGTGCGTTAATAATTTCATACAGTAAAAGAAATATTTACCTTTATTTATATTTATCTTGGATAATTTTTTCCTCATACTATGAATTACAAATTTTTTTTGTTGGAAAGATTTCCAGATTAAGCAGACGAAGGAAAGAAACGAATAATAAGGAAATTTGGTCTCTTCATACTGCAAGAATTATTTATCATGGTTATTAATTCCGGAAGAAAAATTTCAGTACCGTGGAATTAGAACGCACTTTCGTTATGCCTCATTTACAGTTCATTGCTGCATTACTCTCCATTGTTGCCAATATTGAAGAGCAGAAGCGTTTAGCACAACAATATGAAGTGTTTCTTGCCATGACGCAAAATGTATTCTCCAGCTTGCGTAAGCATCATTTTTCAATTTTGGATCGAGATATTTATTATATTCGCATTCATTTTTTGAGGAGTTATAATGCTATGAAACTTCAGAGAGAGTTTATGAGAATTTTCGTAAAAATGAATCATATTAAGTATTAATTTTCTACTGAAAATATATATTTAAAAATTTGATTCACATATTGCTTACGAATCAGCTGTTATGTAATTTCTCCTTCATTTGATTACATCCATTACTCAGTGATTTATGCAATAATAATAAAAAAATGCTTAGCCACTTTAACTATGCTTGGCCCAACTCTTTCATTCCCTAATACTTTCTTTTATTCAGAAGATATGAACTTATTGGTGAGAAATATAACAAAAGAAGCCAAAACTCTTGTGCACGCCGAAATGTAGGTTCAAAGTTTTGATTCTTTTTTAAATGTTGTTCATCTGATACTATTCCTCACATTTCTCTATTGTTAGTTTTCGTTGTTTAGATGCTCATTGTTTCTCCTTGATTGTGACAACTCCGAATTGGTTGCGGAAGTATTCGAAAAAAATGGCTCAAATGATGAGTATCTGACGGAAATCAGAATGCCAGTATCGCTAGGCATTGTCGGACAAGTTGCAAGCACTGGACAAATGATGAATGTCAAAGAAGCTTACAGGTTACTAATTTTTATCCAATAAAGATTAGGGATCACTGGTGGGCAACCAGACAGGTATTGCCAGAAGGAGATAAAAGCTTTGTCATTTGCTAAAAATCTCTTTGCCATTAAATTGCGCTGAAAAACAAGTAGTATCACTCTTCGTTGGCAATGGTTTCATGACATTAGTAATTGCTATATTTCATCTCTTAAATTAAGAAAATAGCTGATGCAAGAAATGAAGTATTTATATGGAATTTTTTTTCTGAAAATTTTTATGGTATATTTCTGATTTCAGCCATCCAGCTTTCTATCCAAAAGTGGACGAACGAACCGGTTTCGTTACACGGAATATATTATGTTTCCCGATTAAGGATAATTCTGGTAAGAGTTGTTGCATCGAAATAACAAAAGTTTATTCAAATTTCCTCAAATTTTAATGAAATTTACTTAACTTTGTACTATTTCCTCAAATTTTAATGAAGTTTACTTTTTGCTATCATCCGCAGATTCATAGGAAATATTGTTGGTGTGGCGGAACTATGTAATAAAATTGGAAAGCCTGCCTTTACGAAGCACGATGAACAAATTGCGATGACATTTGCAGTATATTGTGCTATCAGTATATCACATGTAAGACTTCACTGTCAAACAGTTTTTGAAATAAAATATTACTCGATGAGCATAACCGTTGTTTATTGATTTGGATGCGAAGAATATAACTTATAATTTCCTAATTTGAATTTAGTTTTTAAATTCTTCATTCGTTTGTTTGAATAGTTCCTTAAAGTGTTAATTTATATTTCACTTAATTTTTTATAATCTATGGTTTGATTACCTGCATTTTTATTATTTAATTTTATTTCTTTTTGTTTAGAATATTTTTAGTGAACTTGTAAGCGTAGTTTTTAATGAGTTCAAATCAAAAGTGATTGATATGTTATATAAACTGAATTGCAATATTTTAAGCAATCCTTTCTAAACAAATATTTGGTACTTGTAAAATTCATCAGTTCTATCTGAATTTTGGAATTCAGCCATTTTTTAATTTTATTTATGCGCTTTTTGGAAATTCATTTCGAAGCCTTAAAAAGATCGAAGAAATGGGTCGCTTATTAAAGTAGAATAACTATTATTAATGAGATGATGGATTTGTTTTGTTGGAGATATGCTCAATAAATAAGTATTGAACACGATAATAGAATAAGCTGCATGCATTCCTGTAGAATAGAATAAATACGTTTGGACTCAGACGAATGTAATGTGTCGAATCTCTATTCATTTCAGATTTTTCCGTATAATACTTCAAATTCTCAACTAATATTTTGAATGAAGCTTAATTTTTAAGACGCAAGTGTCGTGAAATTGTTCCATTATTTGCATAGTATTACTAGGAGAGAATAAAAGAATTATAGGCGCCCTGAGTGCACTCTATCGATCAGACTTACTCCACGGCTGCAAGCATTTGTCTAGAATAGATAGAATAGTGGATGAGGATAATTGGATGTATTTACTTCAGTTAAATCAATTCAGTTAATAATATATATATATATATATATTCACTTGTGTTTACTAGTACTACTAGTTAGTTTTCGGTTCATAAGGGTGCATGTGCATATGTATGAAATTGCAATTGATTTTAGAAATTATATTAACGTAAGTATACATGTCATTTTCTACTTATTGTTTTTCAGTGTCTTCTTTATCGAAAACTTCAAGAGGCTCATAGACGATCACATCTGGCTGCCGAATTACTAATACAGAGTTCCACGCTGTCGGTAAAATTTATATTTTGTTTTAGAAGAGAGTAAGGAGAGTATTGTGTCGAAAAATAATTTTATAGCGACACTTTTTGAAATAAAATATAGTTGAGCATAACTCGGACATGCCATTAATTGATCGATGGCATCTTTGGTTCAGCTTCAGTTTAGGATCAGTTTAATTAAAATTAATACCTAAAAATATATACCTCCTTCAAGGAGTTGCTGTTCGCATGCATTCGACATTTGTATCCCAATGCTTCCAGTAATAGCTTTCCATATTAACAGTCTTGGCAGTATAACTGAAGATGAGTTCAAAACCTTTAAATAGCAATGGAGTGAATACGCATAATGATTATTGATAATCCATGATGGTTCAGGCTTACTTGATGAAAACAAACTTTTCAAACTTTCGTGGCATTGAGATACACTTTATTATTTTTTTACATTACTAGTTATTTCATGAAAATTATCATCTATTGTTTATTGTACACATATCATATATTCAGTTGTGAAAAAAACAATCATCTTATGGAAGCATCCTTTATATTCATTCTATCAGTTAAAAAAGAGTAGGAAAAAGCGGATGATAAAAGCTTTTTATCATCTACTACGGCCGAGAGTAATTGTTGCAATATGATATGTTTGGAATAGGAAATATGATATTAGTGAATGATTAAATGATACAAAAAATTAATTTTCTTGATATTATTCCACATAACTTCCGTAGTACTACTTCCTTTTCGGGAGCTATTTGCAACAGTCTGATAACATGCAGTATACTTAGTTTATGGAATCTAGGATTACTTTATCATTTTGTTTGCAGATTGCACCAGAAGATTTGTTACGATTAACGGTAGGTGATATACCAACAGCGACTTCCTTTTCTCCAGAATTCGATGATTTTAATTTTCCACCACGTTCCATAGGATCAGGTGATACCTATGTTGAAGCAGCATTGTCCATTTTTAAGGTTTGTCTTCGAAGGCGCTTTCAAGGCCCTTACCGGGAATTCGTAATAGGTTGTCGTGAAAAAAGTTTGATCTGATCTTAGATCCTGATAATTTAAATCCCATTGGGTACAAGCTAATTATTGTTATAGTTTGAATTCATAGCAATTTTGAATTCAGGTTGATCTGTGTTTAGAGATGCGCCATACAAAATGTAAACTTTTGTTTTCAGGATCTGGGTTTCATCCAGCGATTTCGCTTACAGCGACAAACATTAGCTTGTTTCTTATTAATGGTTCAAAAGGGTTACCGTGATGTGCCTTATCACAATTGGTCTCATGCATTTGCAGTTGCGCATTTTATGTATTTGTTATTACGAACTGAAACAGCACACAATGCACTCAGTGAACTAGAAAGTTTTGCGCTCCTTGTAGCAAGTTTATGTCATGATATTGACCATCGTGGTACTACCAATGCATTCCAAGTACAGTCGGTCGGTTTTTATTTTTTAAACGTTAGGTAGCCAATGTTATGGGTATTTTGCAAACCGTTTTCCAAAGCTCATGAAATAGAAGATAGTTTGTGATAGCGATAAGGGGAGCTTTTCCAATAGAAATTATGTTCGTAATTTTTCTGAAGACATAGAAATAAAATGTAGTGGTAGCAATTTTTCATTGCATATGTAATACCTAAGCTTGTTACAATTCAGTGGAGTTTTTTTTGTGTCAAGGATAGTAAAGAATAGAAAGAGCGTAGATTAAAATCTAGGTTTAAATTACACGAAGAGAATGAGAATAAATATAGTTCATGATGAGGGTTTGTAAACTAGTTTCATTATAGAGAAATTTCGAAAAATTTTTCATGTTATTGGTACCAACTCATTATAGCGAACACCACTGGCTCAATTATATAGCAGTGAAGGCTCGGTGTTGGAGAGACATCATTTTGCTCAAACAATATCAATATTAAATATGGAAGAGTGCAATATATTCGTTTCATTAAATCGACATGTAAGTCCCTTATTATTGTAATATGGATATCTTTATGTCGGGTTAAAAAAAGTAAAACTCAAATTTTATTTCATATCATACAGTATTCTAATCTGAGCTCTAGATTGTAATTTTGCCGTAGATAATACAGTCAATATGGGACTTTGAAAGTCCGGATGTTAAATAGAGATTATTCGACATATACACTTAAAAGAGATGCAACTAATAGAAGTTCGTTAGTTTTATTTGCGTAGAGCCCTTTCCACTTTGTTATCTCTTTTTTCCTTACTATATTAACATGAAACATTCACTTCCGATGTGGGAGGGGTCTCCTTTATTAATTATGTGGAGGTTGTTAATCTAAAAGTTCTTTAAGTCCACTTGTTTTTGTAGTTAAACTTATTTTTTAAGCAATTTCATTCTATTCTGGATCACATAAGGGATATCATTCTTGCAACCGACATAGCTAATCATTTGCAGAAAGTGCAAGACATTAATCGAATGGTTGAAGGTGAGTGATTCGATCTACAGGGATTTAGATTCCGTTACGACTTTTTTCTTTTTCTATTTAAACTTCCAGTATTCAGAAACGAAAAGTATTGCGCCACAGATTATTATAATAAATATTTTAAACCTGAAATATCATTTGTTTAAGTTTTGAAAAGCATAATCGCTTTTATGATCACTCATACCATCAAAATTATTGCTCTACAGATTTACCGATGGAAGTTGCTCTAGAAATTGCTGTGCTTTTGTATTTTGTATTTTTATGAAAAATAAATAAGCTTGAAGTAGATTGCACTAAGAGTCGGTCTTATCAGACACGTTAAGGCTTGGATTATTGCATGTCTACTATCCTAATTTGCATCTCAAACACTGTATGCATTGTCGTAGATAATTTCCACAGTGTATGGCAAGAATAAAAAATAGTACCTCATCTGCTGTTTGCGAAGTGTGCTCATTTATACTACCAAAGTACTAATCCTTTCCGAATAATGATTCTTAATTACCGCATTATGGGATTTCTAAAACTTTAATAACATATGTTTCAGTTGGCTTTGATGGTTCGATAAAGCATCATCGATATTTACTACTATGTCTTATGATGACCTCAGCTGATCTGTCCGATCAGACAAAAGACTTCAGAAATAGCAAAGCAATAGCTGTAAGTTTGGTTCCATGTTAATAGAATTCAAAAACATCTAAAATAGGTCCACGGAATTTCTTAACTGGTTTCTCTGAAATGTCTCTCGACTTCTCCCTCCTAACATTTTAGTTTTATACTTATCTTCACTTCAGCTTAAGAAACTGCCAATAATATTAATTTTGTAACGTGATTAAATTCAAGAAATAATTTTAATTTTAGAACGTAAATAAATTCAAGACATATCACCACTTTTAGGAAAACATTTATAAGGAATTTTTCTCGCAAGGAGATCTAGAAAAGCAGATGGGAAATCGTCCATTGGAAATGATGGACCGTGATCGTGCATGCGTGCCAAAACTGCAGCTTGAATTCATGGATACAATTGCAGTACCTGTTTTTCAGCAAGTTTTTGAAAATTCTATTCTTTGGGGAAGAAATGCGCACGGACTGGCTAGTCAGTTTTTTATCTCTGTTTTATTCACACAAAGTTTGTTTAATATTTGTGCGCATTATTTCAGGTACTTGTCAAAGCTGTTACCCGAAAGTAAAAGTACATATGAATCTATGTTGTTCAATCGGAAATGTTGGTTGGCACTGGATGAAATACTGATCGAGGAGAAGTACCCGACTCTTGGTCTTGATTATCTTAAGGATTGTTCTCTAGAAAAGCGAGTAATCAAACGAGCCCAACAACGACACGAACAATAATAGGGTTTTTTACAAGTTTTTTCTTTGGAAGATTGTTTGCAATATTTATTCCTGAACCTGGCACCAAATGCAAATATTTTTTCAAAACCTGATAGGAATGATAATAGATCGATTCCAAATAAGTATTTTGTGTGAATGATTGTGATTGCATGATAAATAAATACACCGCGCTGGGAACAGTAATAACATCACTTATAAATTATAGTATAACTATAATGTGCTATAATCTACACAGAAATATTATTAATGTATGATTTTTCAAATAAAAAATAAAAATCTTATCTTACCAAAGTACTAATCTTTCCCGAATAGTGATTCTTAAATTTCTGAGGAATTAAATTTTACATTAGCCAGTGCTTTAATTTATACTCTTTTTAGAAATAAAGGAAAAGTCGCAAGATCCAAGATCGTGTGCATTGTATCTTCCGAGTACCGTATTTTTATAATAACACCAGTCATTTATTTTGGCATTCTAAGACAATACGTATCAAATTCTTTCAGAAAAAAATCAAAATCTCTGTGAGAAATAAGGATATGTTGTCTCTGTATAACTTGTTCAACTTTAATATATTTTCAGGCAGTAATTATGTCTTCGGAAGGTTTCAACTATATGGCATAAATTTGATATGTTTAAGTACATTCACTCAGCAGCTAATCTCTACTGCTCAATTCTTGGAATGCATGATAAACCTGAAAGTGATTCTTGACCGTTTTTGTAATGCAGCATCCAAGCAACTACTGTTCCTCTTACTTTCTTTATCCATCCTTTTTTAGTATTTCAAATTGGACTGTTAAATCTCCTTGTTGCCTTTTTCGTTTACTTTTTATTCTTAATTTTCTTTAATTTGTATGAAGTAGCTGCTCTTTTTCCAATTCTTTTTGCCATTCATGATATGGAATTTTTTAAATTGAATTTCGCCTAATTTATTTGGCAAAATAAAATGCAAGAAATCTTTTGCGGATTTCTTGACTATTTAAATATTAAAATGAAATTTGGAAAGTTAATCAAAACTGTTAGCCGTGTTAGAGTGGAAATGTCCTCTTAGAGAATAAAAGGGGGGCTCTTCCGATTTTAAAAAATAGTTCAGTAAGAGAAATTTAAATCGGTGTTTTGATTCATACATCTTTCAGAATTTATTTCATTTTTCCAGAAGTACCCTTGTATGTATATTTTGATTGCTGTCGGGTAACTGTCATTGTAAACATGATTCTCAAAATATTTTTTCATTTCTTTCTCGTGAAATCAATTTCACAACTAAGTACATTCGGTCACTTTGCAGTTGACGGAAAAATTTCTAACTATCCGTTTGTTTTCTTCTTGCAACACTACTGTACTAGAAATTTTTTCTGGGAAATATTGCTATTACCTTGCTTCTGATCCCAATCGTTAATATCTTTCTCAAAATAGAATGTAGTTCTTGATCATCGTCGTTATTTTTCAGAGTTTGTAAAAACAGACATATTGATCAAGTTAAGGTATCAGTTATATGCTTATTTGGCTGCCTTCTGAATCTGCGTGAGAAAGTGCAACAGTAATGTTGCTCGAGTTTAGGATTGTCCTGTTTGGAAATACATTGAGTGTGATTGTGTCTTTCATTTTTTTGTGTTCTACAACTGTCTTCACGATCCCTCGAAATGGAATTCTCTAATTTACAGTACCATTCTCTTAAAACAATGTCACTCAATGTTCAAATTTATGTTCGGATTACTGGATGATATTTAGTAAATCTTTGAAATTGTTTTTGCAGCATGTCTCCTAGAGACTTGTGATGTAACAAATATGCAATGTGTGACCGCGAACGCCGATAAAAGTTCGGTTTGTCCCACTTAATTTCTGCAGAGACAATGCTTTGTATTGTCGGGGCATTGGATAGAAATTGCATGTCGAGATGGGATTTCACGACCTGAGACTCTCTTTGATCATGTTAGACTTAATTTTCCAGTTATGTCTCAGTCGACAATAGAAGCGAACCATGCTATAAGAACCAAGGATTTTAATGAAAAGATCACATTGATTGAAAATGAGATAGGATTAATATAAAAATAACGTCTAAATGTCCTCGTTTTCACCCGATGCTTAAACTAACAAAATATGGTATAGCGTTTTGATGGGTCAAACTCTAATAAGTTGAACCATTCGCAGGTTAATTATATGTGAGGGAGGATAAATCAGCAAATGCTAGCAAATCGAGCGGACTTCCTTACGATAATTTTGTGACCATAAGCAATAGGTCGATCAGTTCCAGATTCATTTCTGAAAGGCTATAAAATTCAGTCTATACCGGCAGAGTGGCTGTGTGTATCCAGTTGACTTTCTCCTACGTCAAATAAATTTCAGGTGAATATTAAGTGAAAAAAAAACAGCTTGTAATCCCAGAATATTATTAACAAATGCATGTTACGGGAAGCTTTCCAGATTCATTTCCTATATTAATTTTTATTGCAATATAAGGGATCCGATAAATATTTCATCTACAACAATCTCATTTTGAATTGATCACTGAAGACATAAATAAGGCTACAAGTAACTGAATCTGTCCAAACTGCTACCAGTGTTTTGACTTTCAAGCGCACAGAGGTGAAATTCGTAAGGATTAAATCTTAGACGATAATTTTCTAAATTATTACAGCTTGTAAATAATGTGCTTGAAAAACATTACAATTAAAGAATATTTTCTGATTGTTGAACAAGCTTAAACACTTCTATTCTAGTTTTCTGCATCTCAATTGAATTTTATTAATTTGATACCTCTCTTTCGCTTATTCGTTCTTGGTACTCTTATCACCTCTATAACATATTCGGAAAGCGTTTAACTGCAAGCAGTTTCGCGAACCGCGGATTCTATTTTCGCGCTGTGCTCTGAAGGCATCAGTTATTTATTTAATTGTAAACCGCTATAAGAAACACAAACACCAAAAACATTCAAATGTAGTCAGCAAAATTTTTTGTTCAAAGCAAAATAAATTCTCTTTGCAACTCAAAACGAAAATCTTGAGTTTATTCTACTTTCTAATACTAACCATGCATTTATCGATAAATGCAAACATTTTCAATCTGGAAAAGTTTCTGTATCTGGAATGTCTAATTTTCGTCCTCGTGCCCGTAAACGATTATCGATCTACAAAGCAAAACACTTACGATGAAAAATATTTTATGTTGGAAAGTCTTCCACTACTTGCCACTTACTCTTTTAAATATTACCTGAAATGCGAAGGAAAAAACTAACCAGAGATAATTTACATTGAGCAAATGTATCTAATAGCTGAAAACATCGTACAGGAACAGTATCAGCACGTGAGCGCAAGCAATCCGATGCATGACGATGCTCTTTTTGAATACAATCTGATTCCTAAAAGTGTACACTTTAGATAATTCGGTCAAGTAAATATGATTAAAATGATCTACTTATTAAATTAAATTAAATTAAATTTACTTATTAAAATGATTATTACTTATTCGGCAATCTACTGTTTGTACACTTTGTTTTTGTACAACAACTACTAAATCTCTTTAAAAGAGGAAAATGAAAGCCACCTTTTGAAATTATTATACACGCATAGGCTAAATTCTAAATGTATTAATCGCTATCTCAGTTAAAGCACAACAAAAAGCAAGCAAAACAAATCGCATTTTTGTTTCATAAATTTATACATTTTAGTGTTCGATTTCATCTTTTTCGCATCAGTTCATTGAGGACTTAAAGCTTTCTAACGTTACATTTCAAATTATTCAAACTAAAGAGTAAAGCGATCGAACAAATTAAACTGCCGGGAAAGACTGATATATTCCATTATAAAAGCAGACGTCAAATGGTTTCATCTACCCTCACTTTAGCCTTATCGAGTAATTAAGCATTCCCTAACTTCGTTTTTAGTTGCGTAGACTGATACTGTGAATCATTCAATCTCCTTATATCTCTTTCAGACTAGCCTGGCCTGTTAAGTGTATACTTACTTTAAGGCATTTTTTCAGTGCTTGCCGTATGTGATCACATGCTCTGCCAGTTTCCTTTTTCGATTTTTCTTCACTTTCTTTTGGTACATTTTCAGACATCACTTGACTAGAAAATATTGTTGCATTTAGGTGCCAAGAATATATTAGAGAAAGTCAGTAAGATTGCCGACAAATACTACTGCGAAACCAATGCGACGTAAAACCAAAATGAATGAGAATAGGCCGCTCACATACGCTCTATACCTAGTCGTATAAAGACCATTATAGGTTCTCAAGCACTTTTTAGTAATTTGCACCCCTGCCGGATTATTTCGCTATAAGTAAGGTTAAAAGTGCATATTGAAGGTCCGATCTATAATTCCAAATCAAGTTGATTACATAAGAAAGTAGGAGCTTCCTTATCGCTAGCGGAACATTTGACCCAAACACTATGAGACAGAAGTGGGCAGGAGAAGATGCCTACATTATTCACGAGTCATGCAGCGGCGTTTTCGTGGTCACTCTTCGTTAGTCATAGTTTTACTCAGCTCTTATCCTCTCATTCATATCCTAATGCCTTAAGAGGTGGCAATGGCCATTGAACGCGACGTAATTGTGTTTGCAATAGTTATTATTAATCATTTGTGGAATTTTTAGTGACTAAGAAATGGATGAAGAGACTGGAGAAGGAGAATTTGTTGTAGAAGCGATTCTTGGAGAACGATACAATAAGAGGAAGAAAGTGAAGGAATACCTATTGAAATGGAAGGGGTATAGTGATGCGGAGAACACGTGGGAACCTGAAGCTAACCTGGTACCATAACTTTTTCTTTTTAGTACTATGATGTGATCACGATTTCATCTTAATTGTTGTAAAGCAAAAATGTTTCTTAAATTGTAATCACTTTTGTCCCAAATCCACATATGAAATGAAAGAGAACAATATTCAATATCGAGAAAGGCATTTTCTGCTTAGCAAATAAACTGTAAATATACGATTCAAAGCACTTTTATTAGTTTTGGTAGTTTAAGTTATCTTTTCTTGAAAGTTCGTGGTAATGCAGTTTATTTAATAAACTAGCGCTTTGCTTTTTATATTCTTATATTTCTTTAGTTTATTGTCCAAAAATTAATAATTTGAATTGAAACATAACAGTCAAAAATAAACAGTCAAATTTTTTTAGAAATATTTTATAGTCCGATTCTTATTTCTCTGAATTACTTTATCTTTTCTTCTTTATATTCTTTATCCATGTTGGAGAGAAGATTTGATGTGCTCCGTAAGTATGACAATACATCGTCAGATTGGCACAACAAAATATCTGGTATGTCACTAAATTCTTAGATTATTTCAGGATTGCGATGAATTAATTGCTGAATTTCATGCTCAGCAAAAGTAAGCTTTGGACAGTTTTTTACTTATTAGATGAGTACTTGAATAAAGTTAAAATAAGTTTTATAATATATTATTACACTAACATAAATAATAAGTGAGAAGATTAATCTGTCTTACGGATCTCTCAGAAAAACTAGAAATTTTGGTTGTAAGTGCCGTGAGTCCTGAACATTTAAGAAGTAGAAAAATTCTTCATGTATTTTAAAGCGCTTGAAACTTAGTTCAATATGAGGTATTCACATACATCTTATTAGTTCAAGCAGATCAAATCACTGTAGTATCACTGGATTCAAAGAATGGTTTGAAGTTATTATCTAGCTCTTGTTGCTTAGAGGGTTCTCCGGAGAAGGAGGGATGTGACACTAAATGATTAGAAAAATCAATATATCTTATGTGTGGTGATAACAAATCATTTTAATGGAACACTCCAGAACACACAGACAATGGGAGAAGTGAACGGCATGATATCAACTTTTAGTATTGAGATGATTAATTTTTTAACTGCTCAACATTTAAGTGATTTCAAAATATATCCTAAGTCAACTCAGATGTTACTGTTGTAAAATTAAAAATTTTATTGTTTACTGTGTTGCAACCTATGACACTTACTGCAGAGAAACTTGGGGAAAGCAGCGAAGTGAAATGTGGCGAAGCTTGATGGGCGTTACAAATTCTAAATCGAAATCACGAAAACCGTTACCCAAAATGAGCTGTTCAGGAAGTTGTAGTCCCGTGTTTGCAAACACTGACTGTCATAGTACCCCATCACAACTTTCTGCAACTTCTCGACCTGGCTTCACTTCCTCAACCATTTCCTTAAGGCGTCCAGCTTCTGAAGATTTGTCCGGAACAGAATATTGCACTTACTCAAGTGAAAGTGAAGATGATGAAGAAAGTCGACAACGGAGAAGTACTGTTATTCAAGTTCTATCAAATTTTTTCTTCTTTTACCTAGCTTTTGGTTTGTCGAAAGCATAGTTTAGCGTCTATACCAAAATATTTTGAAACTGCATCATATCTTATTTCAAACTTTACTTACATTGATGCTTTCTTCAGTGCGCCCGCCTCCTGGAGAAAGTGGAATGGAAAGAGGTTGGGTGCCAGAAGTAATCGTCGCAGCTTGCGTAGGTTTAGTGATTTTTTCTTTGTGAAATTAGTTGGAAAAAATGAGCAGGTGAAATTTCTGATGATATTTCTGAGAGGGAAGGGGTGTGTATTCCTATTTCATGCATGTTTATACTTTTTTAGCTTTCTCTCAGACAATATTCATTACAGTTTCCCTACGTAAAATTGAAAGAAACAGAAAAAAGGGGAAAATGAGTTGTTCATCACTTAATGATTTTAAGAGTTGAATAATTTGTATTTTTCAGCAACCAGAAGACGATTTCCCGCTTACGTACATTGTTAAATACAGGCATAAGAAAAAGTTTGAAAGGGTGCCAAGTTCAATATGTATGAAGTACTGGCCGCAAGTAAGTTCTCGTTGAAATTCGATTTTTAACTGAAGAAAATATATTTCGTTACAATATATTTTGTCTTCTTGTAGAAGTTATTTTTCTTAATTTATAGAAGTGAGAATGAAAATATAAGATTTGTTAACAGCATTGAATCTATGACGATAGAATTTAATGTCTCTCTCTCTCTCCTGTACCGGTGCTCTGTATAAAACCAATATACTTAGTTTGATTGACATGTATCAATGAATATTAAAATTTGAAGAGAAATCTATGACAGGAATAAATTACTTTTCAGCTGGTGATTGGCTTCTACGAACGCGAGATACGTAAGCAAGAAATAACAGTCGATGATGATAATTATTTGTCACTATGAATTTTGTTATTTGCTTATGAATATTAAAATTTGGAACTTGATAAGTCAGACTTATCAAGTTCCAAATTTTCATTGTCTACACTGAACTTTCAAATATTTTTGTAACATTTGTTCAAAAGATATTTTAGTTGCTCTTAAATTAGAAGATTATTCTGAACATTTATTATTTATACTTTTCTTTCTTTTCAAAATATTTAATATTCTTGTAATCGTGCTTCATTGTCGGATTATGATCACGAAATTGTTCTTTACCTCCTTTAATGTTTCCATGTCTCCCAATGATATTTAGTTTCAAATTTGTTTTCTAGAAATGTCTGTTTGAATTGTGTCAGCAGTGACTTATTTCATTGTGCTTTTTACAGCAATATCTCATTTACAGCACTGTTTTATTCCTCAATATTATATGAAATTTAAAAATTACACGATTTCTGGAGCGTCTGCTTGAGAAATAGATTAAAAGCTTTGTTTGGTTTTCAAATTTTGTTTTCTTTGCTTGTTCATCGATTATTTCTTGTTGCTTCGTTTTTTATAGAGTAAAATCTATTTTGAAAAGTTTTACCTTTTTTCGCTCTTGTTTCTCGACAAGAATTTTATGGTATTTCTAGAATTTTTTCCAAATACCAAAAAAACTCTTGGTGGGAAATAATGTGACAATTGTGGAGATTATTCAGTTTGAGAGAACAAAGGCTGAATATGGGACTCCATTTCGGTTTTAAGCATGCAAATATACTTTTACATTTTTCACTTGCAGTGATATTATAATATATCCGAGACGTAAGTTTCCGTTCTGCTTCCCCTCAATCTAGTCTTTGCTTCGAAATGGAAGAATAGTTTATAATGGCAGTTGATGAAAGCAGGGAAATATCATGTAATCGATTTCGATATGTTCCGATATTTCATTTTTCATTCATCATTGTGATATGCTTATTACAAATATTTGGATGCCATGCTAATTCTTCATCAGCAAAAAGAAAATATTCGTGGCGTGATTTATAAAATATTGGTCTTGGTGTCTAAATTTACCTGGCTTCTACTTGGCTTTGTACTCAAAAATTCAAGTTTTTGAAGTGAAATCCAACGGGTGAACTTCATATAATCGGAAGAGAACTTCGAAAAAAAGCGGAGTACTTGGATAATGCGTTCTATCTCATAAATGTGTCAATTCTCTTCTCATGAATGGAGCCATCATGTGATGTAAATTTATTTTCATTGTCTTAGTTCTTTTTTCAGTTTCCTGGTTGTGTTGAAGCATATGGGGTGATACTTCGTTCTTTTCATAGCATTCACAATAATCATGAATTTTTCGACGGAACTTCAGTTATCGAGGTGAGGATTACTGCTTACAAAATAGTAAAATTATTAGAAAAATTTTGGGTAATATTTATATTTCTTATGTTGAATTTCAGTGCATCATTCGAACTAAAAGGAGTAGTTGTTAAGCTGACGAATCGCTGGTTTACAATTTCTATAATTTTACCAGGGGTTGAAGTAAATTCTTTTGAGGCAAGTTCAGCTATTATTTTTATATATTCAAATTAATTTCCAGTGAGATCCAAATTAATCAACTATTATGAAATGTTATAAGTCGGTATAAATTTCATGATAGTTACCGAGTAAGGTTGCCACTCGAAGCTGTTAGTGATTATGAAGTAAATAATTGAAAATTTTGCTTGTTTTATAGTATTATTTTGCTTGATTTTCCTTCGATTAAGAGTGTCTTCAGGTCAAATTAGAGAATGATACTTTATCAGAGGTCCTAAAATTGGGCTCATGGGTAATTTTACACGCTACTGGAAAAGTTTATGAGATTGTACGACAATGCAGTGAAGTGCTACCCACATATGTTTATAAGGATCTCGTTCTTGTAAGTAAAAAAATTTAACGAATTTCTTTTTTCTTTAAAATATTTCAGTTATGCTACAAAGTCATCGATTAGAAAGATAATTGCAACTTACAATCAGGGCATGAATGATGAATTTTTTTATTACTTTCATATTTATCTCTCTAAATTTTCAGCTTAAAACGAATATATGTTTTCAAGAGAGAGGACAGGAGGGATATGGTCGCTGGGTTTGGTCGCCAGAGTTAGGGAGAATTGCTGCTATTTGCCACGATAGATACAAGCCAAAACAAAATTACGTAGCGTTGGTGTCGAGGTTCTTAACTTATTTTGAATTTACGAAAAGATTTTTTGAGTAATGCTAATATATAAAGACAACAGCTCCCGAACAACTGTTTTCTTTGATTTCCGGAAACCGACAAAGTACCAGTTTGTTATCGAATACAATTGGATGCTGACAAAATATATTGATGAACCTAGTGTCAACTTACAGTTCGATGTCGTAAGCATTTGTAATAATAGCCTAGTTTAATAAACTTATTAATTGCAAAATTTTCATTTTTCCTTTTAAAAAGTTTATTCTAGCCACGTTCTTTTCAGATTTTCCAAGAACATAGAATTTGTAATGGACGAAAAAATCTTTTTAACAAGGGACATAAAGTTCATTGCAATGATAGCGGAGATAATTATTTTGAGAGCACTGTGGATGACGAGCATTTTTTTTTCGATGATTTAGAAGTAAAGAAACATGAAGTATTAAAGTTTTTCACTATAAGGCAACATAGACAAAAGATAAATCTGTAAATTTCTCAGATGTTGGCAAATAAGGAATTTATTATTTTTGTAGTCTCCCACAAGAGAAGGACGATTTATATGAATTTCAGGGTTTTATCTTTCTATTTAGAGGAAGCTCTTATTTATACTGCGATGAGATCTTGCAATTTGTACCTTAAGCATAGAACTATTTGCAGAATTTGACCAGCAACAATATTTACGCTATTATAACGAAAGTGGTGTCAAATCCAAACGTCAGACTAGCCATGCAGAAATATCGACCTAAGGAACTATTCAGTATGTGTGAAGCTCTTAGTCTGAAGTCCAGTAAGTTATTTATTGGTCACTATTATATGATACTTTGTTATTAATTACGATGGCTTATAGGATCCTAGTTGTGGCCATGTCTTATTTAAAAAGCCAAGTTTAGTATGTACCAAATTGGTGAAGGACACAATGACCAACCAGTGTTCTCTGATAATTAACTGTGTGTAGCAGGATGATAAAACCATGGCTTTCTCAACTTTGAAAGTATTTTTGTTTTCATGAATATTATCCAACGAAAAATGAAGCTTGGTGATTAGATCAGAAGCACTTCCGGGTCTAATCAGTGTTTAATCATTTTAAGTTTTTGTGATTGTGCCATTTGAAATTTTTACAACTTTTATTTAGCACTTTCTTGCCCTTAATTTGTATCTGTTTTCCGTTTTTTTACTTTTCTTTTTTTTATTTTCTCTACTGTTTGAATCGGTGTATGAACCAATTGATTTAATATAAAGTAACCTTGTTGTTTTCACAACAAACTGATTCTCTTTACATTTCACTCCCTACTTTTATATTTGTTCCTTTAATGAAATACGCACCATTGTGATGCGGAAATAAAAGAAGGGAAATGTTGTTGTGTTATACTATGTGACTCTGAATTTGGCTTTTTGAATGCAAGAAACAGGATTGAAGGGGATCTATACTATCGTAAAAGGATAGCAAATTGTTGCTAAACTTCTATGTCCAGCAAGCTGAATTCTGAGACTACTTAGCGTTGTTGAATATTATTTTCATTCCTATCTGTGTTGTTGAATATTTTCATTCCTTTTTTCAGATATCTAGAGCTGTTTGGCATTAATTTTCTTGAAACGAATTTATAAATAATGTTTAAATACTTATGCTCAATGCTCATTAGTGATTCGTCATTATAACGCTGATGGACTCTTGACGATTCAACGGAATACGAAATAATAGAATATCTTGCCTTCTCTGTATATAATTGTGCTTGTTTAAACAGTGTAGTAGGCTTATCCGAAATTTTAGATATTGTAGGATATAAATTCGCACTTACCTGCTAATGTCCTAACAGATGCTTGTACTCTCAGAATAATTGTCTGTGCTATAATTGCAATAAACTTCACGCTCCTTGTTTAAAGGATCTTATTTCTTTTTTGATGAATGATAACACTGATTATCGAGTGATAGTGGGACACTATTCATTGTTTTCAAAGTGCTTACTGTTTCTTTACTTTATGATATTCTTCAAGATGGTTTCTTTTACATTAATAGCTTTATATAGCTTTACATGCAATGTAATGACACGAAGCCGGCACGCTGGAATACGGAATACTTGTCACTGTATAATGTTTACTTCTGTTCCAGCATGCGCTTCTATATGGATGAAAATAAACAGTGTTGCATTGCAACTATTTGAGCCTTGTTCCATCTCTTCCGTCGACTGTTTCTTTTGTATACCTTTGTTAAGTTACTTTCTTTATTAAGGTATTATTTCTTATCATTGCTTTTATTGTTCTATACTACGCACCGTTCTTTTGTCTTCTTTTGTTGAGGTATCATTTCTTTTATTTTTCTTTATTCAAATATCATTTAGGAGCTTTGTTTAAACATTTAAAAGCATACTATTATCGATAAATTGCGAATCACTTGCTTTTCTGTTTCATATAATTTTTTTTATATTTAATTTAATTGGAATTCTGTTCTTTAAAGTTTAATATAAAAAATCTCAATACACTTCGTCTGGTTACGATTGGTCACTTTCATTAAATCTATTGCTTGACCTTCATGCTATTTCCTTTGAATTTTGATAAGTTTCCACAACTTCTGAATACTTGGAAAGAAAAACATAAATCTGAAGGAGCTTGCAATTCATAAGTTATGATTATGTGAAGCTTCTCTTCATTTCTACAACAGAAGTCATTCAGAGGAAAATACGATTCCTATGGGATAGAGAGAGCTGATTATCGGCGGAGAAATGTTATTTGCCTTGCTCCTCTATGACAAAATACGAAAAAGACGTTAACTTAGGTGCAATTCGTTTTGAAATATTCATAAGGGTGTTCATCAAACTACTGACAACTGACAAACACGAATGTCCCCGAAAATCAGTATTGGTAGATTATCACCCTGTCATCCGCAAATGAGCCGGACAATACTGCTAATAAACTGCCAGGGAGTCTGTCTATTTTCATTTCGTTCTTCGGATTTTATCGTTGAAAACAGCTTCTGATCAAGCAATACATTTCATAGGCGATGTAGTTACGAGATGTCGTGGTCACCGTTACACTGTTAATCTTTGATTTCCAAAGGAGGAGATAGGGGGAGGGGAAAGAAGATGTAGTCAACCCAGAAATGGTGATAAATTCATTTAAAAATTATCATTTTCATTTACATACTTTCTTTCGGAAGAGATGATAATACTTTTAGATTTCAATTCCCATTAATTCTTAGTAACTGCGGTTGATTGTGATCTGCATTAGATATTTGTTATTAGCATTATTATAAGAGAATATCGCATAATAATTATAATTAGTTAAAGGTTCGTGAGTGAATTGCACTTTGTATTTTTGTGAGAGTTCTTTTCATATTCATTATTGTTGAATATTTTTGAATTTCAAGTTTGGGTTCTAATTATTTTAGGTTCAGGAGACTACTTTTGAGAGTATATAAACGCGACAATGTCTGCAAGGGATCTATCAAAAATGACGGTATTTGAATTATCATTTGAAACTACATCTTTCCTTTGCTTTCTTATCGGTAGGATTTTATGATTCACAATTTGTTGTATTAATCATCACCATTGTGAAATGCGGCTTAAAATTGTATCCTGAAATAAGTTGGATACTATCTATATCTTTTTGGAAATGTCTTTTTGGATGTGTTACAACTAGAACAGATTTATAACAATCAAATATATTTACATATGCAATAGTTATAAATAAACTCCATTTTAAAATTAGATGACCATTTTCAAGTAGGCTACAAAAAGTAAAAATTTTTATTTGTTATGTCTATAATGTTGAAGCTATCGAGTGAGAAGTAGGAAGTGTACACAACATGTATATCTATTTATTTATAATTGTTAACTTGCAGGTTGTTCAGCTCCGAGAGCAACTACGGTCCCGTGGTCTCCCAACAGATGGTACAAAGGCTGGATTAATCGAACGTCTCAAAGGCAGTTATGCTGCTGAAGATACGATACTAAATTCGGATACCAGTGTCCTTTCAAAGGACAGTTTAGGTAAGTTGATCGGCTGTATAATTTCATTTGAAACCTTTTTTCGGTATTTTCGGTAAGATTGAAAGTTATATTGAAAGTCAATAATTAGTTTTAATTTCTGGTTTATTCACTCACGCAAGCAAGGTTAGATGAAACAAGATATTTTAAGTTTTTTTCACAATGCTTGTTTTATGTATAGATGAATATTTTATAGAGGAAACAGTGCTGGAAGGTGCGATAAATGAAGACGACATTTTGGGGCCAGATACCTCAGTTAAGAAGAAGGTGTGCTGAATTTTTCGTTATTTCTGTTCTCTGCTATTATGTGCAAAAAAAAATTTTCCGAAATATTTTCCTCTCCTTAAACCTAAACAGTCTTACTCGACAGACAAATTAATAAATGCATCTTTGAAACACTATTAGAAAATAAGATCTGTAGATCGAGTTGTGCCTTTTGCAAACTGGAGAAGGCAAGTTTACAAAGGTCTATCTTTGTTTATTTTGTGTATGATTTTACTGTTTATTTGGCCTGCAACTTAATGCGGTATGACTCTTGCAACATATGTAAACTGCAACGCATCAGGAGACTGTGATGCCTGCAATATATTACTGACAAAAAACAAACTTTAAAAGCGTAAAACAAAATGGTAAATTCAATTATTACTGTTTTATTTTGGACGAAAATGCGCAGAAAGTTGTTGATGATTTTCTATATTAACGAGGGTTATTGCTCATGATTTCATAAGTTGTTTGCTATTAAGAAGTATGTTTGGCTTCTGCATTCATTCTAACAATTTTATAATGAAGTATTTTCAGGATGATTTAGCTCCTACAGCAGTACCATTAACGCCAGCAATGACGCCGTCAGTGCATGTTGATGAGTCTAAAAGTAATCAAAAAGCTGAAGTGAAAAAGAAGACGGAAGTAATGGTTAATTCATGGGACGCCAAGCTGAAACGAGCTCAACGTTTTGGATTGCCGCTATCAGATGAACAGATGAAACAGAGACGCGCTGAACGGTAATTATATCATCATTTAAAAGACAATGTAAATAAACTTTAAATTCATGTGCAGTTCAGTAACTCCCTTTGGCTTAAGATTAGCAAAGACTGGCTGATATTAGTTAATGCTTTGATTATAATTTGCGAAGGAATTCATTTGTCTTTTTTGTGGAAATGATATATTGCTTTTTTGTCAAGTATTAGACATTTAATTTTTTTTTTAAAGGTCCGAAATGCAGGTGAATGCAGCTGCAAATATCGGTGAAATCCTTGCAGAGAAGAAGAAGAAGAGGGCAGAGAGGTTTATATGTTTGTATTTCCTAAAATATTCGTAATTTTTCATAAAAAAGACATTAAATCTGAAATATCGAGTATGTCGGGACCAAGTATTATCATATCTAATATTATGTAATATTAGTCGAGAATACTACACTTGTTTGTTCTGACAACCGATTTTCGTAATACAAAAAAGTTCAATAAAAAGTCCTGAAAATTTATTCTCGTGGCTAAATACTGTGTACTCAAAATTTGATTTCGTGGAAAACAAAAGACTTTAAAATATAGAGAACTATTTTTTTTTTTCATTATAAGAAGAAACGAAAAAAGCAAATGATGAATGAATTACAGATTTGGTATTGCCAATGAGTCTGAAAAAATACAGGAAATTTTAGATAGACGAGCTAAAAGGTAATTATTAGTATGGAAAGAGTTAAGTGATTGCACTTTTAATTGTTAATATCGAAAGTAGAAAGAATTTTGTAAATCTTGAAGTTCAAATTTTGCACAAATCTTATGTTGCTGGATTGATAGTGCCATTTTACTCCTGTTACAGATTTGGAATTGATAGTAAAATGAATGCGGTTATTGCTGGTAAAGTTGAGAAAGCCTCCTTGGAGGTATTAGAAAAACGTGGAAAACGCTTTGGTTTATGCTCTGAAGAAGCTGAGGTATTTTTTTCCTTGTGTTTATTGTAATGATTTCAAGGGTGATATCGACAATCAAAAATATTATAAGCTTATGCATTTTTTCACTACTTCTCATTAGTAAGTATTTTTCGCTATCGATGAACAGGTCACTTAGCGAAAATATTAACAAAGCGACGTTCTTGAAATACTTTTAAAAGACATATTTAGCTCAAAGGGAAGCAAAGTTGGATTCATTTTAAGATATTTTTAGTTATTGTTAATTGGTTTGCAGTTGGAAATAAAAAAGCAAAAACGCGCTGAACGATTTGGATTAAATAAGAATTGATTATCTCTTCAATTCACTAATGGCAATGAATTCTTTTTCTTGATACATTGCAGAATGTGTACATATCAATTATTTTAATCTCTTATTTCAATATCATTCTTATCCATTTCGAATTATTAAAAAATGTTTGAACGTTAGCGTGATCCTTCCAAAGATACTTTATTAGATATGAGTCTAACAACTCCGAAACATAAATTTAAAATTTTTATTAAGATATTAATCAAAGATCCCACAAAAGTTTGAAGTATTTTAATTACAACCATTGTACTTGTAGTATCTTCTTGTTGTTTTGTTGACAAAACATCATACAGGAATGTCATGTTTTTGTATTTTCTGTCAAAAAGTGAAAACTAATAAATTTTATTTTGAGATGAGCTCAGTTTTTACATCATTGAAACAGAAGTACTTGCCACTGCATACTTCGGTTTTTTCGAACAGGACTATTTGCCACTGCACATTTCGGTTTGAATGCATGAGAGTTTGAATTCAGATAAATTTTAATCAAACTTGTAAGAGACACGTGTATAGTTCGACGAGAAGTACAAATATGTTGCTTTCGGCACACAAAGGTAAGATTGGTACTTGGAGACACTGAGTTGATGATGCCGCTTAATTTTGGACAACGTAGTTCTAAGCTTGCTCCATGGTGAAATAGAAGTGGAGCAATCTTTGTTTAATATTTTTTGTGTAATGTATTTAACGTTGTTTAATGTAGGTTTAATATAGAAGATTTTTCGAAGGAAAGCAGCCAGGGTTTATTTCGCGTGATTTAATTGTATATCGTTGAGATGATTTGATGATCAAATACTGGTTGGGAAGTATTAATCATCTGTAAAATTTAGTAATGGTGGAGGAAGAAGTGGAGGTTTTGCAAAGTATATACGGCGATGAACTTGTAGTCGAGAGGAATTTTGCAGAGAAGTATTCCCATCATTTTTTCAAATTTAAAACAACAATGTCCCTAGCTTTTCATCTGTGGAAGTTATAATTTGCGGAGCTGTGGTTTAATGTGTTAGTTGAGCTATGGTTTAATATGTTAGTCGTGATGACCACCATTGATAAATGAACATGGCTTTGCTGCTCAGCATACATATTTTAAACGTTTTACTTTAGAGACTGAAATTCTGAAAAGCAAATAATTCATTCATTATCTAATTTTGCAACTTATTTTAGTGAATTTTAGCGAGCCACCAATAATATTAAGCATGAAAATACGATCAGCACTATCGCAGTCGCAGTGTGCAACAACTATTCATGCTGTTATCGAATTACCAAAGCAGGTAAATTATAGCATTCGATATGTTAGTTCAATGCTATCAATCGAACTTTTTAACTGATGTTGAATCCTCAATTTTTAAAGCAGTAATAAATATAGTGCTCTTCAGTACCCAAAAATATCTCCGAAAGTTTATTTACGACAACAGCGAGGATTTGATGAAAGCAATGCGATTATTCTTCAGGAAAGCATCCAGGAGTATATTGAAGCCAATATCGATATGCCTATCCTTTATGATATTTTCCAAGTTCATATCTAATTGCTTTTGTAACTAAAGTTGATACTGCTTATAGTTGGGTCGAAATTTAAAGATAGTTTTATAGACGACTTTCTATTTCCTAACTGCTGCTACCCAGCTCCGTTAAAATAAGAATTTAATTGTTCAACTCATTTTTTTTTTGAACATGCTCTGGAATATTTGCAGATGGTCCAAAAATTTGTGGAAACTGAACGAAATTTTCCGTGCACTGTTTGTCCAGTGTGTTTAGACGGGTTTAATGCAGAAACTAGTGCTTTTTGTACATCAAACTGTGATCATTATATTCATCAGAATTGTTTTATATGTTACGTAAACTACACAAAGGGTGAAATCACGAGAGAACTTAGTGAATGGCCAGAAGATATGAAATCAAAGGTGGATCAGGTATATGAATTGTGTTATTTGATCAATAAATCTTAATTATAATAATATCCATTGATAAAAAGCCGTATCATCTCTGATGACTTATCTCAAATTGTGGCTTTTATATTTTTCTACTTTTGGACATTGTTATGAGTACCGCAGATTTTTTATCGTATATAATTCTGAGTAATTAGTATACAATGACAGCATATAGTTTATGGAAGATTTGAACAGAACTTATTCCATAATTTAAACTCTTTCAAGTGAATCTTTCTAATTCGCTTATACTGAATTGTTTAAAGGTCTTAAAATGTCCAATATGTCGAACGCCACTAAGTGAACAAGATTTATCAACAGTTGGTCGGGAATCAATCACTTTGGATGAAGCTATTGTAGATAAAGGAAATTTTGAATTTAACTGGGTAAAATGGCGATCAAAACTCAAAGAATTACAGCCAGTTTTCGAACGGCAAAAGGCTAAAGGCGGTTTAATTGATCCGGAGGAAGAACGAAAGCGTTATCTCATCACTGATGATATTGCAAGTTTAACTTCTAGTTCTGTTTGAGTTGTATGCTCATGTAATACATTCAAGTTGCTGTCTTCACCATCTACATCCTTAAAATCAAGTGATGCTATTCGTTCGGAGCTTCACGATTAGACTATTGTCCTAGTGATAGAGGAACGGTGTCCATGTGAGAACCTCTTGTTTATGCAAGAAAATCACTGCTTGATTTTCACCTTCCCTCGAAGTCCAGCTGGATGGATGGTAACAGTAATGATAATTCTAACCTCCGTTAAGCTGTTAGATAAACCAACTTTTTCAATAAAGTATTTATAAAATTGCTTGAAACATTTAACTGTTTATTACAGGTGTTTGAAAGACAGCCTGTCGCAGAATCATCCCATCAGAAAGAAAATGTCGAAGCCGCTGAACTTTTCGAAAGTGTATCATCAAAACCCTCTTGCCAGTTTTTGGATCATCAAAAGTAGAAATCAGGACATCCTTATTAGCTATTTCAACTTCAAAATTAAATATGGGATTCAAGGGTGATCCTTCTGAAGAGAGATTTAGGAAGAATCGAGGTGGAATTGGTTACATTCTCAGATAGAGTGGTTATTCGAAAGTGTTGAATGAGTAAACAGAAATCAGATATTAAAACAATGGTGTAATTAGTTTTCATATTTAAACTGGAAAACTAGAAATAGAGCCTCTCTAAATGTTTGTTGGTTTGAAAGAAAAATGGAATTGATGAAATTTTCACATCTGCAATTTAGTTTTGGAAAGCAAAGCTTTTGCATCTTGATAAAAATAGTCGTTATTTAAGCTGTCTATTGGGACCTGTTTTTTGCAAAATATCTTCTATTCTGAGTACTCATTTTTTAGATTGGTATTTGAAATTAAAACCCCTTTTCTTTAAACACAGTCGAAGAATGAATGAAAACAGTTAAAATACATCTAGTTTGAGCAAAAATTCTCTGTTTAATTAGATTATTGTTCATGATATTGTTCAAATTTATGCAAAAACCAAAATTATTCTCTTTTTTAACTGCAGAAATCTAAAAAAGCGTGAAGAAAATCGAACTTTTCTGGAAAATACTGTTCTGCTTAGAAATCACTTATTTCATTGCTACTTAAATTCAAAATTACAATTTTTCCGAAATTGCCTCATTTCATAAAGTGTAAGAGACTTCCTTGAGATTAGTTCCTAATCTCTTTAAACATTTTCTTTTTTCTGTTGCTTTTAGCTAACTGATGTATTTTCCACCATGTACATACTGCTTGTAGTAATTTTACCGGTAAATTTTTTTGAATGAAATTTATCGTATTTGAATGAAACATTTTTCTATGTTCATTATGCATTTCAGTTACTGATATGGAAGTAAAAAGTGAAGTTCAACTTTGTCGTGATGTCATTTACAAGTGTTATGGAATTCAGAAACTTGCTAACGAGTTTTATGATCTGTTTTAATTTAAACCATGTTTATTAAAATGTTGAAGAGGATAGAGGCTAGGTGGGGAAATGGAAAGAATTCTGGATTTTTTTTCAAGCTGGGAATTTAGTAGATGAATACGCGATCGATCGTTGTTTTCATCATTGATCATTCCTCCATGCAACTGGGCCATTCTTTCGCAATGGTAAAAATTGTAAAGAATTTTAGAAAGAGATGTCTTTTACGTCGTTTTATCTTTGCTGTAAGGTTGAACTCGTATTCTAGTATTTTCCAGGATAACTTGGTCTGAATGTTGCGTGTGTTATAAGTGTCTATGTCATTTTGCGTTTATCAAATAGAATATGGTGGTTTGCATCCATGCGAACCTATCAGCCTTGCACTATTAAAAATGGCCGCTTTATTATCCTTAGTTATCCAACAATTTTCTAGCAACTTTCTTTCCATTCTAATTATTGAGCAACGGCGCGTTTCTTATTTAGGAATAGTACTCTTAACAAGCACTTTTTTAAAAAATGTTGCTGGAAGTTGCTTTACTTGCTTGTACTAATTAGTTGCATAATAGTGAGATACTGACCTTCTTAGGTCGTATCAAAAACTAATCAATCCTCGGAGGATAAAAATACATGGCTTGTATTTGCAAAAATATGAACTAACTATTAGACCAGTATAGCTAAATTGTCCATTAGATTAATTTGTACTCCGCTTCTTTTCTGTCGTATTTTCTAATTATAGAGTTCAACAATACATTTGACTTGTTACCAAGAATCAATTTATTATACTTCCCCTTTTGTTTTACTTATTTTCATTTTTGCATTTTTTTTACAACCTAAAATTACATTTTACCAATGAAGAAATCTTCCTAAATTTATTCCTCGACTTATTTATATTATCTTTCAAATCGAATATTTACCTGATAATCTTTAACCTTTAATTATTCTTTGTATTCAACCTTGCAGTGTGATAGATATTTTACATATTGATGAAATCATTATCACCCATCCATACACTTCTTATCAAGATAAGTTATTATATTTTGACTGTATCATTATCATCATTCCTTTCCCATCTCAAGTATTATCACTAATGTGACATTTGCTTGATCTCCACCAGTTAACATTTGTATACATAATGCAATGTAATCAGTGATACATCAAAAAACGTTTAAAATTTCATTAGTTTTTATTTTTCACAGTCGGTGAAAAGAATGTACTCTAAAAATCACATTCAAATTTGCAAAATTCAACATTACATGTGTACGTCTCTGTGCGCATTATATGTGTATATGTATACCTTTTGACAGGTAAATCGTTGATTCATTTAATACGTTTACTCTCATATTTGGAGAGTTTTTTCTCGTCCTTCTTATTTCCCTAAATTAAAGACTTTAATTGCGGCATTGTTAGAATTAAAATGTTGTAATTTTAACCCTAAATGTTCAATATTTAATGAGAAAATGGCCAAGATACGTGCTTGTTAAGGATGAATAAACTTATCATATTTAAGAATCTCGAAAAGAGATATCTATTTGAGTAGGAACAATTCCCAATATGAGAATGAACAGTTTTCTATTTCTCTCTTATCTTCTCCTTTGTTGAAAAATAGCCAAGATTAGATTAGAAGAATACCCTCTACTCAGCCTTCCATCCATATTTGATTATCTGCAAAGGGGCATTATGAAGAGCGCAGTGGTAGCAGCGATAAAGAGAAAAGCTTTAGGTTTCGGATTTGATCTATCGCTTACTAGTGTTTGGGAGAAGGAGACTGAAAGTGTAAGCAGGGCATTTTACCCTTTGATGGTTGCACCAAGAAGATTGAACATATGAGCAATAGAGCAATAATACATTTTATCTTGATAATTGGACCGAGAAGACTTTGATATTGAAGAAAGGATCGATTATGGCCATAACGAAGGAACCTAATTCATTTAAAATTTATGCATGATTTCTATCATTCTGCAACCATTTTTCATATCGGTAAATGGAATTATCTTTGTAATTTCCCTCATCATCCACAATTTCAGTTCTTTTTTTAAATTCAAAAATATTTTACAAATTTTTTTTCAATTCAATCACACTCTCTTATTATCATTTAAACAAACCACTTTTGACATTGTAAGTTTGATTCATGTCAGAGATAAATATTTGTCACTCATTACGGTTCTTCGATAATATCTATTAGTGACGATAATATCTTATCGCGTAATCGCTGAAATAGAATTCTAAAAAGAATTTTTGATTTTAGAACTAAGAAGAAATTGTTGGTTTTTGTATGATAAAAAAAGAATGATATGCTATCTTTCCTATCAGTAACTGATATAACGTTGATATTTACCATTCAACGGTGCGGAAAATAAGCAATGTTTATGAAATTTTCTTTATATTTTTTTGAAATTGTTTTTTTTTGCACATGGAAATTATTTGTTCCTTTTTGAAGATATCGTTATTGCCATCTATGATAGTAATGTATTTGTTTACATATCTTCCTCATAATATTATTTAATGACAATTTTAATGACAGATTTGTTCACTTTAATTGATAATATTTTCGGGAATATCCTCTTGTAATTTATTACTTCGCATTATTTTGTTACTATTTTGTGACAAATAAAATGGACGTATTCTTAACTTGTTCCTTCTTTGCTAGCATTATTTCGGAATATCGCCATGAAGAGAGGGATGGGAGAGTATCTCTTCTATAACAATGAATTCCTATGATCGAAATCAATTTCGATTTTTATTTAACTGAGAATGAAAACTTTTATAAATTTAATTTTGTCATTTTAATCTATTGAAATTATTGGAATATTCTTCGTTGTATTTGGACTATATTAATAGAATAAATTATTATTATAGTAGAGATATTATTATTATTATTATTAGCACTTTATCTTTTCTTTATGAAGCTCTATTTCTTTGAAATATGTTGTATTCATCGTAATTTGCTGACATTATCCAACGATAGTTTTGACTTGAAGCTAATAGTTGAAATATGTTGTAGAAAGATGCATATTTTAGTTCCTTTAGTGTACTTTCTAAAATCGATTGTATCTTATAAGCAGTTGTTAGGAATCATTACAAATTGTGAGCTATATTTGTCTTTTATCACTATCTTCTTTTCATTTCGAAATGAAACCAATGCTTTCATATCCAGCAATATTATTCAGAAGTTTATTTTGGAGACATAAATATTTCTGTAGCCTCGGGCATTAGAAGATTCTGCTTCGATTGCTACAATACATTGTCATAATATTGCATCTGAGCAGTTGAAATATCACACAATTTAACATGTAAGATGATACTTAAAGTAACAATGATAATAGCATGATAACACAGAACTATCTATGATGACGGCATTAATAATAAATAGCAATGAGAAAATGTCACTGATAGATATTATCGTAGAACCGTAGGGTGTGATAGTGAAATGATAAGCACCGCAAGAATATTTATCTCTGACATAAGTCAAACCTACAATGTCAAAAATGGTTTATTGAAATGATAATATATTTATTGCTGCTAAAGGAATGTTTCCAACAAATTGATGTCAACCAGCAAGATGATTAGTAAAAAATGCGACATATGTTTACGTACATTGGTGTAAGTAAATCTTACTGGGAAGAAGGAAGTGGTGCAGATGTTTATATCTTGATAATGCTTATTATTCCGGTTGAAATTTATGAGTAAAGATAAGAGATTTTCATCCATCACATGTTGATATGGCATTGTTGGTTTAATGAGAATCGATTTCTGTCATTTTCTATTTACTTTCATTAAACTATATACATTTTGCATAATATGCTTAATGTGAACTTATATTATGTTCACATAACCACCAGTTAACATCATTCTTCTTCTTTTATAATTGTCATAATAAACAGTTCCGGAAGATTTCCGGTGCACTGAAATGCCGGACAGTTTTTGTAATGATACACTTGTATACCTGATACTACTACATCTGCCTTGACCTTATTTAGATGGAAATGAAGTTCTTGGATGATTAATATCCTTTATTATTTTAAGCTCTTTTTCGTTAGACAAACCCTTCAGCTAACATTTCAGTGGTTGATTGTGATTGACTTTCTCTCTACTTTCAAGTTTTTCTTTTTCACTTACTGGCAGTAGGAATTATCCTCTGGATATACTACTATTGCTAAACA